CATTTTAACATTCAATACGCCTTAATTGTAACTTATTAGGTTATATTTTTGTTTACACATGGTTCAAATATGTTTTTTGTTTACACGTGATTCAAATCTACAAATACTACTGTTGAACTATGGTCACTTTAGTAAAACCATTTGTTCATTTTCATAAGGGACTGCCAGTGACAGGTTGTTGCATACATAAAATGCAACCTTTTTATTCTGACAGTGTATGATTTCTATTAACATTACAGAATAGAACATGACCAATATTATCTTTCTACGTTCGATTTAAATAACTGTAATTGCACAAACTACGTAGGCTACAATTTCAGTTTGTTTATAGTGAAATAACTCAAACACATGTTTTTTTTTCTCTGTCCTCTGATAATCATTGTTCAGGGCTGCCGTTCCCAAAAGCTTTAATGCTTTCTTATGATACTTTTGGGAAACGCAGCCCTGTTTGAATGTACTGTCAGAAGTGAGTGAACGCTCTCTGTGATTGATTAGTTCTGTCTTGCAACATTTGCGTGTTCAGATGAGCAGGAAAATAGTTCTATCCTACACAATTACTCGCTAACAAAGGTTATTCGTCCAATTCAGTGCATATTGTACGCATTATTATTTTTTTTGTTAAATAAACAAAATCACTGGTAAATAAAACACACCTTAGTATCGATATTTTTTGTTTGAGTATCGATACGTTCGATACTTGCGTCAGTATCGATATATCGATACTTCGGATCGATACGCCCATCCCTAACTCTGGTACCAGTGGGCAATAAGAATAAAGCGCAGATATGCTGTTCTGAATGGACGTCGGGAACGGGATATTGTTAGAACAGCGCTTCCGTTCAAATTACACCAGAGTTACCGACCGCTACCGCGTTTTATTCGGGAATTTAATCCCGCAGCGCAAAAAATCTGGTCGCAGATTTGCAGAACTCATGAGAGAACTCTACAGCAGTGGATGGATAGGCTACCAAAATGCGAACTAGCGATCTGAAACAATGGCCTCAGCACCTGAAGGGATAAGGTGACCAGACGTCCCATTTTTCCCGGGAGTCACAATTCGTTGTCGATTAACTTAAAGTTATGGGCAGAATCGCGCTGATAGGAGTGCTTTCTCGCGCGCACGCTCCACTTCTTCAGTTCTCATATACAGCGCGCGATCAGTTCTCAGTGCTCAAATACACACACAGCAGTCCAAATGTCTATCGTGTAGAGTTGCGTGAATTAAGGGTGATTGGGACAGTTTTTGAATTTCCGCCATGTGCAAGGTTTCTTGCCATAAATTAAAAACATCAGCCCAACACATGATACATTACTGTAATACTGAATATATTAACTACCCATTTGAGGAGGAAACAATGTAATATTTTAAAGAAAGGATGTGTGACGCACACTTTTCTGTAAACTGAGCAAAAAATTGTTTTTTTGTGCATAACGTACTCATGATTGTTTGGCATCAATTACTGCTTTATTTAATCAAACACAGTCTAAATATTTGTGTATTTTGCTTTCATTTTATTAGAAGTAGGCCAACAGCGCCCCCTACAGAATTAAAACTCCTTACTGAGCTGACATTAGGATCCGGGGAAGGCTACCGCTGCTGCCGCTGCACGTGCTATTACGGTGCGTTTCCACTGGCACGTAGCAAGCGCAGCGGCTGAGAGCGTCAAAAAGATTGGGCATTCCTCAACTTCATGCAAATGTCGAGCGAAAAACGCCGGGTGACAACCAATCGCTGTGAAAGGAAGAAGATGAAACGTAACGGTGTTTTTCAGAGGCGTGCTCTGCCCTAAATTTGACATGCCCCAAAGCAGTGGAGTTGTAGCGTTTCACTTTTCTGTAGTGGAAACGCACCATTACTGTTGACTATATCACACATCAAACGCGTCATTCTGTACGTGCATTCTCAGTTTAAATGCAGCGATCCAAAACCGTGAATCTAATCATCATTCAGGCAAAACTTTGCTTCAGGAATGAGCCACAGTGCTGACATGATCTAATCGCTAGCACACCCTGAGTGCATGTGAGTTAATGTATTCCCCTTATCGGCAAGACATATCGGCATAATTTTTCATATCGGGCCGATGCCGATATTTATATTTAAAGCCTTTATCGGCCGATTCCGATATTGGTCCGATAATATCATGCATCCCTAAAATGTATGTTAGATAATTTAGCAGTTGATCAAACATATTGAATAGTTCTCCTTATAGAAACTTGTGATTTGTGTTTATAATGTTTTACTAATTATATTTTGATATTTTCAGGGAAGAATAGTTTATAAAATTGCATCAAAAGGAACAAATTTTGTATAGAAATTGTCTTTACACTGTTACAACGGGGTTCATTTTTATGTACTTTCACATTTCTGTTTTTTTTTTTCAAGTTACTGACAAATGAACTGCTTTTGCTTTTATTTTAGAGTTTATTGAAGAAAGTGAGGAGACCGAAGAATTGAGTGAAGTTGAGGAGAAAAATCATTTTAAAAATGGAGAAAAACCTTTGAGTTGCTCTCAAACCAAACAGAAATATTTAAAGAAAAGAAGAGCCAAGAAATCTTTCACCTGCACTCAGTGTGGAAAGAGTTTGACATGCAAATATAATCTTGATGTTCACATGAGAGTTCACACTGGAGAGAAACGGTTCACTTGTGATCAGTGCGGGAAGGGTTTCACACAATCATCACAACTTAAGGTACACATGAAAATCCACACTGGAGAGAAACCGCACACGTGTGATCAGTGCGGGAAGAGTTTTACACAAAAAGGAAGCCTTATGGCACATATGAGAGTTCATACTGGAGAGAAACCATTCACATGTAATCAATGTGGAAAAAGTTTTGCACACTTAGCAAACCTTAAGGTACACATGAACATCCACACTGGAGAGAAACCTTATAAATGTTCACACTGTGACAAGAGATTCATTCAGTCAGGATACCTGAAAACAAATGAGAGGATCCACACTGGAGAGAAACCGCACACATGTGATCAGTGCGGGAAGTGTTTCACACAATCAGCACAACTTAAAGAACACATGAACATCCACACTGGAGAGAAACTGTACTCATGTGAGCAATGTGATAAAACATTTTTGAAAGCTTCAGTCCTGAAGAAACACCTGACAGGTTATACAAAGGAGAAGCCGTATTCGTGTTATTTGTGTGGAAAGAGTTTTTCACATTTTTCAATTTTGAAAGAACATCAGAAAACACATACTGGTGTGAGAGAGTACATGTGCTTTGAGTGTGAAAAGACTTTTACTTCAGCGAGCTGTTTAAAACTGCATGAGAGGATTCATACTGGGGAAAATCTTTATAAGTGTTCACACTGTGACAAGAGATTCAATCATTCAACACATCTGAAAACACATGAGAGGATCCACACTGGAGAAAAACCTTATAAGTGTTCACATTGTGACAAGAGATTCAGTCAGTCAGTACATTTGAAAATACACAATAGGATCCACACTGGAGAGAAACCTTATAAGTGTTCACACTGTGAAAAGAAATTCAGTCGGTCAACACATCTGAAAACACATGAGATGATCCACACTGGGGAAAAACCTTACAAGTGTTCACACTGTGACAAGACATTCAATAGGTCAGCAGACCTGAAAACACATGAGAGGATCCACACTGGAGTGAAACCTTATAAGTGTTCACACTGTGAAAAGAGATTCAGTCAGTCAACACATCTGAAAACACATGAGAGGATCCACACTGGAGTGAAACCTTATAAGTGTTCACACTGTGAAAAGAGATTCAGTCAGTCAACACATCTGAAAACACACAGAGATGCATTTAGCTGTATACGTAAAAATTTTGTATTGTATCAGCATTTCGTCCAGACGGATCCAACGGTTTGGGAGCCTGAAACCACTATTTTTTGAAACCGAGTCCCAGAATGGATAAATCTGAAAACAACACCTTTGCATTTTGGTGTGTACAGCCAATCCGTTTATTTTGTGAAACGGTGAAGTCATCACCCCACGTCTTTACCCTAGTCAGACACCGCTACGTCACATAACAGCAACAACAAAGGCGGACTACATGCTTGTGTTCATGCTGCTGAAGCCTATTAGCGTTACTAACTTTACTAGCTTTTCTTGTTGTTGTGTTGGGTTTGTATACAGCGCGCAAGGTTTATGCGCATGCTCCAAGTCTTCTTCTCCGTTTTTAGTGTATCTTTGTGTCAGAATTACAGCGCCACATACTGGTCATACAAAGATGTCTATCAATGCAAGCAAGTGTCATTTGATCAGTACTTGTCTTTTGAATATCTAGGGATTGTGCTGAAAGGTGCTCCACGCATCCTATTTATCATCATTTACAGGCCTCCAAAATACTCTCCAGCCTTTATTGAAGAGTTTACAGAACTGTTATCAGTGATTTCCTCAGAGTTTGATTTGATTATGAGATTTGAATATTCACATAGATAATGCAGTAATCAATGCTACAAAAGAAATTATAACTGTTTTAAACACTTCTGACCTGATTCAGCATGTGCATGGACCCACACACAATTGTGGACACCCTAGATTTCCTCATCAGTAAGGGTCTAAACATTTCTTCCATTGTTATTAAGGACGTAGTACTATCTAATCACTTCTGTATTTTCTTTGATATATTAATCTCTGCTACCACTGAATCTAGATCTGTCTCTGTCAGAAAGAGATGCATTAACGAGAATAGCACTAGTGTGCTTTTTATGAAGGCTATATCTTTAACACCAAGCATTTCTGTAGGCTCTGTTGATCTTCTTTTTGATTCCTTTAACTCAAAAGTTAAGAATGTTATTGATGATATTGCTCCTGCAAAAGTCATTAAGACGACTGGCAGACAAAAAGCACCCTGGAGAAAATCAACAGCAGTACAGAGTATGAAAAGAAAATGCATAAAATCAGATGTGGCGGAAGACGAAACTTGAAATTCACTATAACATCTATAAAGACAGCCTTCGTGCTTTCAATGTGGAACTAGGCAAAGGTAGACAGTCATTCTTCTCAAACCTTATAAACAGTAACTTAAACACTCGCACTCTTTTTGCTACTGTTGAGAGACTAACAAACCCCCCCAAGTCAGATTCCCAGTGAAATGCTCTCTGACAGCAAATGCAATGAGTTTGCTTCCTTCTTTTCTGAGAAAATCAGTAATATTAGAAAGGCGATTAGCACATCCTCAAGTTATGCAGAGGTCAGACAGATTCGACCGCAATTTCAAAAAGCAGTTACTATGTCTGTTTTTGAAGCAATTGATAGCAACATTTTGGAAGAAATAGTACAGCAACCTGCTATCTTGACACACTCCCCACATCTTATTTTAAAAGTGTGTTAAACTGTTTAGAATCAGATCTCTTAGAAGTGGTGAACGCCTCACTTCTCTCTGGGACTTTTCCATACTCCCTGAAAACTGCAATTGTTAAGCCCCTACTGAAAAAGAGCAATCTTGATAACACCATATTGAGTAACTATAGACCAATATCAAATCTACCTTTTATAGGCAAGATTATTGAAAAGGT